GAGATATAGATATTGATTGAAAACATCAAAGCCACCACAGAATGAGTTTTGATGCCTCTTTTTCTTCAATGGAAAGTTAGTGTTACGCATCCCATGGGATTCACCAGCCAACGGTGGTTTTTATCCCTAACTATTCGTTAGAAGAACTCCAAAAATAGATTTCTCAAACAATATCCATGTTTCCCCTTCTTCAAGCCCATGTCCATGCCACGAACAATGACATCATAGTCCTTGCATTTGGTCTCAACTTGTCTCTATGCATCTCCTTTTTCAGTGAAGGGTAGAGCTGGTAAAGGTTGATGACAGTCTAAAGGGAGTCGATAGGAAGATTGGGAGAATGGGAAGGAGAAAGGCTACACCAATGCCTAAATGGGCCGGTTTGATTTTAATTTTTTTTTCTTTAGTGATAGCAACAATGAAACATGATATTTCACTATTAAATCATAATACAAGATTCTCTTTGTGGCGGGTAAAGATATGAGCAGTACTTGCTCAAGTGGATTAAGACAACGTGTTGTTGGGATTTGCTAAGATATCTACAACTTGAATTCTTCTCCAACGAAGAGATCGAAAGGCCTTATCTCAAATATATCTTCATCTTTCAGATCATATTTTTCAGGACGTTTGGAGAAGAAGTTAGTCGATCTATTATGGTTAAAATTGGAGCAATTATGTATGACGAAGAGTCTTACTAGCAAATTGCATCTAAAGCAACGTATATATTCTCATCGTATGACAGAAGATACATCTCTTCAGTATCACTTAGCTTCTTTTACGAAAATCATTTCTGATTTGGAGGCCTTGGATGTCAAATATGATAAAGAAGATTTGAAATTGATTTTATTGTGTTCATTGCCCCTTCATACATGTCTTTTAGATATACGATTTTGTATAGTCGTGATACTCTCACCATAGAGGAAGTGTATGATACTTTGTATTCAAAATAGAAGATGAAGCATCTGATTTTTTAGACCAGAGATGGAGAATGCCTGGTTGCTCATGGTAGTTTTGNTTTGAAATTGATTTTATTGTGTTCATTGCCCCTTCATACATGTCTTTTAGATATACGAGTTTGTATAGTCGTGATACTCTCACATCAAACAAGACTATGGTACTCTATATTCAAAGGAGAAGATGAAACATTTTGTAGCATTTGAGGGTCATGACCTCATTACTAATAGTGGTCGTTCAAGGGGCAAGTCAAAATTTAACTGCAAAATTCATAATTACTACAAGAAAAATAAGCACTTGATAAACGACTATTATAAGTTAAAGAATAAAACATAATTGACTGCAAATCAACAATCAAAAATTTCAGGGGAAGCAAGTATTGGAGAAAATCCTAATTGTGATTGAGAGCTTTTACTTATATCTGACTACAACTCAAAACCTGACGAAGTTTAAATTTTTGATACATCTTACACTTTTAATAGACTCCTAATAGGGAATTGTTTTCAACATATGAAAAAGTTACAAAATGTGTTGTGATGACCGGTAATAATACAACTTGTCGGATAACCAGTATAGCTAGTTCAGAATAAAGATATTTGATGAGACGATTAGAATACTTGATACGATGAGACACATTCTAAATTTGAAGCGAAATTTTATCTCCTTAAATACCCTTGATTCAAAATGATACATGTATGCTAAAAGGACATAGAAAATCCTATTTATATATCTTGTAGTGTTATA